GGACGTCGTGTCGCGACGCACAGGAGTGTAAGTTCTGGCACCCCGCACTGTGCCAACTGACTTGGTTCATTGAGAAATGTCGTGCCTTCCTCAACGGCCCAGTAGTACACCTGGTCGAGGCGGTCCACGATGGTCTCAATGAGCTGAAGGGCAGTGGACTCAATGAACGCACTGCCATTCTCCACGAGGGCACGCAGGGAGGCTACGTGAGCCTCCACCTCCGCCAGCACGGGTGGGTCTGGCAGGTGATCCTCCCATGCCGACGTCGCCAACAACACCCCGCTGGCGTCACAGCTGTCGTGCGTCCCGATGACAACTTCCTGCAGCTGCGAGGCCGTCATTACGAGCCACGGGTGAAGAAATAAAGTCGCAGTGGCGTTTCCGTCGGCTTCTCCAGCAGTCTGCGTGCTCCTGCGTGCTCCCAGCGTGCACCGCGGGCGGAGACGAAGAGTGCAACCTAAAGCAAAAAAAAAAAAGATAAGAAGAATGAGTCAAGGAAACAACACTGAGAGACAACAATGGCGTCCCCAGTGGAAAAAAGAAGAGAAAAAACAACAACTAAGAACACATATAAAGAGGAAGAAATACGGAAAAGAAAAAAAAAGCAACGCAAAGAAAGGAGGGCAGTACACTTTCCTACAAAGAGAAAAAACGAAAAAAAAAAAAGAACAGCAAACAAAAAAAAAAAAGTGAGGCAACAGTGCAGGTCGGACACATTATACTCGCTGCCCTTGCGGATTCTGCACCACACGATTTGCCATGCCCATCAGATTGATGGGAGACGTGCCGTCCGTGACAAGAAAACCCTTCAGACCCAGTGCTTGCAGCAATTTCGCCTTAAGCTCAGGACCCGCCCGCGCAATCGCCGTGACAGTCTCCCTGCCTAACGCAGCAAATATCTTCTCCACCTTTGTGGCCTCAATGTCGGCCAGAGCCCTCGCTTTCGCAACCGCAAGATCGTTCATGACTCGGCGGTGAGAGAGCTCCATCTCCATGCGTTGACGCTGTACTTCCAACTCCGCATCCGTCATCTCCTGCTGCGACTTACAGCGAGTGGGCGTCACGTCTAGTTCCGCCTGCAGCTCCACAAGCCGTGCCTCACTTTCGGCCAAGGCCTGAACTTTGCTGGAACCGCTGAGCTCAATAGCGGCATTCTCCGCCGCGACTTGAAGCAGCGTCACGCGTTCTGCCTCCTCCAAAGCTTTGTCCTTCATGATCTGCAGCTCGAGGGAGCCCTTTGCCTCCTGCTCGAATATCATTGCCTGATGGGCGGCCTCGTTTTCCTGTGATTTGGTGATAATCTCCACGGCGAGCTGCACACTCTTCTTAAGGGCATTCAGCGTATTCGGCTCCACGGGCTCCACAGTGCGTACGTCCACGCTTGTGATGAGGAGACCGTTGACGGGGAAGTACAGGCCGTCCTCCCGCATCTCCGTCATCCCGGAGTGAGAGCAAAAGATCGCCTTCCGAATCACAGAAGAAGAATTTCGATGAAACTGCTCAAACGACTCCATGGCAATAGCAGCACGAACACGGTTCGCCAATGTACTGCAGGCCTTACCAATAAAATCAGGCATTGCAAAGGCAACCTGCTTGATACGTTCCTTGTCAGAGGCGTCAAACTCCCAGTTGTACGCAAGCTCAAGCCGCAATCGGGCGTGATCGAGCGTCTCAACTTCGATCGTGTCAGCCATAAAATCGGGTCCCAAAAAAAGGCAGAGTGAGTGGATGCAGTTCGCCTTCTTGGGGCGCCCCCCAGAGAGAGAGATCGGGGTAAATTCTTCACTGGGGGCGAGGAACACGGCGGCGGGTCCCGCCTCCACGCGACTGGTGTTTGTGCTGTAATCATACAGCTGTACAAGAGCATTGTGTGGAACCTTGTAGTAGACAAGCTCGTGTGAGGCGCACGGTCCCATTTCTGCAGCCAATTTCAGTGCATCAAGATCGTACACAGAGAGTTTATCTGCCGTAAGGAGGCGGTGCACAAGAGCATCCACTGGCTTCTCCCACAACACTTCATCCTCAGCAAGCAGGAGCGCTTGACCATGCACTGCCCGAACTCGGCCAGTGCGGACGTTGCGCACATAAACACCACTGTGCCCCGTAAGCAGCATTCTTTCCCGTCGCTCCACGACGCGAACCTCCAAGGGTGGAATATAACTGCAGGGCCCACGCACTAGCCACCGGGATGACGCCTCCCGCCGTGCGCCGCCGTCCTCAGTAAAGCTGTTTATCGCCTCCACAAGTAGCGCCTCATGCGCCCCAAGGAGGTAGGCGTCCTTCACTTCATTGTCCCGCAACCTCTCACCGGGTTTCAAGAAAAAGGAGCACACCCCCTTGAGAAGCCTCTGCTTACTGTCATGGCAGACACCATCGTGTGCCATACTTAATAATATGCAGTATTGCTGCTGTCCAACGACTGTGAGAGGGATGATCGTCTCAGGCTGCTCATTTTCAGTCGGCAAGAAAAGAGTAACCGCATCATGTGTTACAAGCCACCGATCCCCCAGTAAACGTTGGACACCAAAGCGATGATCATAAAACGGACGCACAGCACGTACATGAAGGGCCAATATAGGTGAAAGCATGATGCCTTTTTCAACAGACTCCAGCTTTGTGTATGGGCCCAGAAAGAAAAGCTCTCGGGTTACCATATTCCACTTTTCCCCGGCACGTCGCGTTGTGCCGTCCGAGTCCTTAAAGTCTGACAGGGCGGACAACTGCATGTATTCATTTGCTGCAAGAATGACTGGCTCCACACTCTCCACTACCTCCTGCTCTACACGGGGGACGTACAGACAGGGCCCTTTCACCAGCCACTGCTGTCCAGCCATGCGCTGCACAATTTCCCCCGTGAGTTCGTCCGTTGTGGTGTGATCTGCCAGCGCTCGTAGAATGATGGCCTCGCGGGCAGTGAGAATGCGCATCGGCTTCACTTCAGAGACCACCTCACCAGGATAAAGCGGAAATGGAGGTTGTGGTAGCCGCACCTCGCGGTGACCCACCCGGTATGTTGGCTCCCCACCGTCGGGCGACGGCGAAACGGGGTTCTCCACCTCGCAGTAGTGATTCAATGGGATAACAATGTGACGTTGGGGCGTCGTGTGTAGCTTGACGAGGTGGTCCTGCATCGTGAAGCAGCACGGCCCCTCCAAAAGCGTCACCTTGCATGTGTTGTTATCAAGGATGTGGACATACTCGTATGGTTTCAGACGGACGACACGATCAGTCATTTTGCTTCTCACGTCGCACCCACCTTCTCTCTCTCTCTCTCTCTCTTTACTTCTCTCCCCCTTTATTTTATCTACTGCCTTGTTTGCATATATATATATATATATGTTTAAGCTACGCTTCCTCTCTCCCAGGATGCAGCGCGCAGAACGCTCGTTGTTGTTAGACTGATGAATGAAGATATACACAGACTGCGCCCCGGCTGAAAATACGCACACGCACCAACCGCTACGCTATGCGGGTCAAACCCCTGCGCAAGAAGACTTCCACCTACAAAGAATGAAAAAGAGGGAAAGAGGCACAATACACAAACTAGCATCTCACCGAGCGAGAGGGAGAAAGCAGTGAACCAAGCAAAGCGGAAGCAAGCACAATTGAGCATTCCCCTCTTCCTACGCAAGCACACACATACACACAAACACACACGAATAGGAGGAAACATATATATATATATATATATATAGCCCCACATAATATACGCGCCATGCGGAGGAAAAAAATATCTATTTATCCCCAGCGCCAGCGGTTTCACACACCTCTCCCCTTCCAGATATCCATGCGTGTGTAGGTCTAATATCCAAGGTCCATTCCTGAGAGTACGTGGCATGAGCTGCTTTCCTTTATAGTGTGCTTACTGGCTCATTTGTTTCCTTCTCCTTGGTTCGTCCTTCTGGCGGTGCACAAAGTGCGCCCCCATGAAGAATGCACGGGTAAACGTGGAACGACACGTCATTCCCTTCTTGTTTTCTCGCCCGTGTCGCTTCTGTGACACTATACGGTGAGGGATGTTCTCACGCCCAGCGCAAGGCATTGGAGAAAAGCGGCGCAGTTTTCCACATCCACAGGCTCTCTGCCGCAGACGGTGGTGAGGGCTTGAATAAACGCCTTCAGCGCGACACGGTAATCATCTGCGACAACACCAATTTCCTTTTGGCGTCGCCCAATGGATTTCAAGACGGCAACGCTTTCCGCCCAGTCAACCTCCCGAGTCATACTCCACATGGTAACAACAACTATGCGCAGGAAGGAGTAGCTGTAGAGCACCTCTACGTCTACGGCGGCGGGAGCCACGTCGGCTCCCTCCTGATCGTGCTTCATCGCAACCGTCAAGTCCCCCTGCTCTGCCCCCTTCGCCTCATCCTCCTTCGCCGCCACCGATGATGCATCTTCATGGCGCGCAATCTGTGTTGCCTTCCAGAGTGTCTCAATATCAGAAAACACAATGCGTATGAAAGGGTCCTGTATCATAGAAGAGATCTCCAACGCAACGGTGCGCATGACTTCATTCAGAAGCGGGGCCAATGCGGCCTGGGGTATTATTGATGGACACTGGCCCGCAAACGCACTTCCATCTACTTTCAGAGAAGAGACACACAACATGGCCCACAGCTTGAGGGCCTTCTTGGTGATGGACGGTGCAAATAAGGCAGGAGAAGCGGCGTAAGCGTAGCGGGTGGAAGTCACATTGAAATGGTCATTCTGCAGCGTATCTTGGTTTATCTCCGTCACCCGCTGAATGCGCTCTAGGATGCGTGGGGAGCAAGGGTTGCCGCTGGCGTCGAGCCGCGTCAGGCGTTTATTCCGCCGTGTGAGACGAAGCAGCTGCTCCGCGCCGCATTCGTGAATGTTGTTGCGGCAAAGCGAGACCTCGCCCAGGTAACGATGCTTGTGAAAGAGGGCGGAGAGCCAGTAGCAGGTGAAGTCCCCGGCGCCATTCTGATCGAGCACCAGCGAGCACAGGGAGGGACAGTGATACAGCGTTGCCAGCAACGGGGCCAGGGCATCCTCGCCAAGAAGCGTGGGACGCATGTCAACGACGCTGAGGGCACTCCAGCGATGAGACCCGCTATGGTTCGCGTCCACTGACAGCAGCTTCTCCACGTGGTTAGAAAGGCGGAGAGCCTTGTGAAAGAACCGCTCGCAAAAGCGGCTGTAGTACTGGTAAAGTACGAGCAGCGGTAGTGCACCGTACGGCAGCCGCAGCGCAGGAAACGGAAACATAGTCTGCGACTTCTGTTGTGGCATGCGCAGGAGCGTTCGGGCCTCTCGCTCTGCAGCAAACATAACACGCAGCGGCTCAGACATGTCAAGGGCACGCACAATAAACTGCAGCTCAACACCCAACCAAAAAGCATCGTCGGTGCTTTCCCCCAAGGAAAGACTATTGTCTGCGGTGTGTGAAAAAAATTCCTGCCCCCACACAGAAGAGTCACGCAGCGCGGCAGCAGCAGCAATACGTGCATTGACGACACCACATTTCTCATGGGCGACGCTAAGCAAGGAGCCAATAACTACGGTGCGATGGGCAATTACCGACTGTACGCTGCCACGAACGACTGTAAACTCCAAATGCAGTTCCACACCCATTTGGTGGCTGCTGTTGCACTGCATTTCGGCAACATTATTCTGAAGGCCCTCATCCTCCCCGTCGTAAGCCACGGCGGCGGCAACGGGGGCAGCAGCAGCATCGAGGTCCTTCTGGCCATTTTGCTCTTGTATGGCAGAAGACGGGCTGACGCCGCCGTCGCCGCCGGTAAGAGGGGTAGGCAAGGCTCGCTGCAGCATGACGGGAATGAGAAGATCCTCCGCCATCTCAGCGCTTCTAAGTGGATGTACGGAGGAATCCACAAATGCGTTCATGCGCTCCTCTGTGCCGCTGTCTTGGATCGGTAAAACAGCCACCCGCACAAAAAACTTTGCCCCATCGTTCCTTGTCGCCTCCTGGGGAAACACGGTACCCTCCACACGCAGCTCCGTGAGCGTCACGGACAAACACCCAAGGAACAGCACCTGATGCTCTGCCATGCGGTGGCAATCGTCGTCGTTCCTCTACCTCTTCCCTTCACGGCTTCTCTGCTGGGGGGAGGAGAGGCTTGGCCCAGTCCGCGACTGTGCGTGTATGTGTGTGTGTATGTGTGTGTGTCCGTTTTCTTCAATTTCCGCCTTGTGCGTCACTTGTTGTGTGCGTCTGCCGTCACTTCCTCCCCGCTTCGCTTCGCCTCCGGTGCAAAGGCAAAAATAAAACGACAACAAAAAAAACAACACAAACAAACGAGCAAACAAAAAGTGCGTAGAAGAAGAGGCGTTCATGAGCGTCCGCGGATTCAGGAGACAGACACATTGTAGACCCCCTCCCCTCCCCACACCACCAAAAAAAAGGAAGAAAAGTAATGCATCAAAAAACAAAAAACAATGAATTCACTGACGTAACGTGTGTGTGTGCCTGCCGTGTGCATATGTTCTTCGCTGCAGAATGACAACGTCCACAAAAAGAAAAAATATCTGGTACTTTTACATGAGAGAGTTGGGGTAAGAAACAGGTGTCGGCCCTCCCTGCCCCTCCTCCACACACACACGGCAAAGACTCGCTAACAGATACACACCACAGTGACTTGCTGTTTCCCACTCATGGGCGACATTAAAATACATGCATGTGAGGCACGCATCTTCTTCTTCGTACTGTTGCGCTATGATATTTGTTTACTCCTTTGCCAACAGTGATGTTGTTCGCTTAGGCAAGGCATCGGCTACTGGTGCGACCCGTAGCCGATGCAGCAGTACCCCGCCCAGGTGCGAGGGGAGTAGCGGAAGAAGTTATCCTCTAGCAGCGCCCGAATGGCCCATGCAAGCAGCAGCGTCTTGTGCTGATGCAAGCTTACCGCGTCATGGCCGCCAAACTCGTCATCCTCGTCGCCGGGCCCCACAGACATCCTCACCCCCACAGACGACGCTGCTGTCGTGACTTCGGCCGTCGTTCCGATCGTTGCTGCTGTGTCATGGTTGGCGGTGCTGCGTGGTAGCATCTCGTTTGCCTCTGAAAGCAGCTGGAGAAACTTTGAAAGGAGCTCGGAGGGGATCATGTCAGGCGTGCACCACTGCCCCACGATGACGCACGGCACCCCACTGGACAAAAAACCACGAACAAGCCCCTGCACGTCGTCGTGGGTGCCCACCACACGTGTGGTGGACATGTTTGTGTTACTCATCACCACCAGCTCCGCAAACAGTCGCATTCGTGCCACTTCCGAGGAGCGCAGCAGGTCAACGTCATCCTGCGACATCGCCATGCAGATGGCACCGGAACTATTATCATCGTTGCGTGTGGCACTCGTCGTGGAGGTCGTGATGAAAATCATACGACTCTTCGGCAGGAGCTCCCTAAATGTGTCCAGGTCCTCCACGAGTGTCTCGAAGCTTGTGGTCACACAGACGGAGTCCGTCGTGCGGGAGCTCCGTCGCACGCTGCGCTTGTTCTCTGCGAGCGTGCGCAAAATCAATTCCCCCTCCTTCTGAGAACGCAGAACGTCGAATGGGAAGGCAACATGCGACATCGGGTTCACCGGCAGCGTATCCGTCTCCCGCTGCACCAAGACTACATTGCGCCGCAGATCCCGCTGAAGAACGCGTTTAGCGCTCAGCGCAGAGAAGGCACACTGGGTGGCGCAGAAGACCATTTGCAGTGCAAAGTCCTCCACAAGAAAATTACCGTTGCGTGCAATGAGGGCGTTAAATGGCACCAGCCACAGCTGCTCCGTTGGAATCAGCGTGATGACGCCGTTCTTGCTCAGAAAGAGCGGATCAAGAGCACGAAGGAACTCAACAATGGGGTCCACAAAGATGGCGTAGAGCGTCTGTAACGGCTCCATCCAGGCTCGCTTCGGCAGCGTGCACAGGATCTCGCCCTGTGTGACGCTGCTTGAGGAAAGCGGGTCGAGAAGGAGCCCCTGGCGCAGCGTTTCAATAAGTTCATTGATAGAACCCACCTTAAAGTCCTTTGTGACGTCAACTTCCACAAACCGCATCCCATTTCGCTGCGGCACCACCCACATAAGCAGCTTCTCATTTACCGCGTAGCGCCGCTCCTCCGTCAACCACTCGTAGCGGTGCGTCGTCACTTGGTAGATGAACGGCGACCGAATCTGCGATGAGGTCGCCACGATGTGCTCCAGCGTCGGCTGGGCGCCGAAGTTCACCCGCATCTTGTCAAACAGGAGGTCACGGTACTTGCACACGAGGCTGCGCTCCAGCACCTCCAGTGCCTCACTGTAGCGGTACGTGCTCGCAATGCTGGAGACGAGGTACTTGAAGCTGACGGACTCCATGATGGAGACGTAATCCGCCGGCACGGAGGCAAGTAACAACGAGGCACAACTCGTTTCGGCATTCTCCTTCGCGTTGTCCTCGCCGCCGTTCTCATCGGTGCAGAGCGACGAGGAGGAGTCGCGAAGTGCACCCCATTCCAGCACCGCGGAGCGCAACAGCGCCTCCGCCGCAGTATAGCGTGAGCGTTGCCAGTTGAGGATGGCACTGAAGGTGTGTCCAGCTGCACACAGCAGCGGATCATTGAGCTCCCCCGCCAGTGCCTCCAGCTTGTCGAACTGCGTTTGTGCGTGCGCAAGTTGGTTTGTGGCGAGGTAAAAGTTGCCGATCTGCGCAGCGGCGACGGCGGCAAAGTGTTTGTGGCGTTCGGCGAAGTTGTCGCAGGAGGCCATGTCCGTCCAGAGCACGCTCAGCATGATGCACTCGTGATAGCTGTAGGACGAGGTGCGCATCCAACTCAGCGACTGCGTGTCCTCTGTGTCGAAGCACCGCGCCGCGAGGAAGCAGGCGACCGTGTGGAGGGCCTCATCCACAACGTCTTGCAGTACGTGGCCATCTGCGCCGCCAATGCGCTCAATTACGCGACGCGACGCCACCCACACCTCCACCGCCTCCTTCACGAGCAACATGCGAGGCCACTCATTCACGTACTGCTCCGTGTGCTGCATTATCACGTCAGTGCCGGGCACAACAAAGTAGTCGTCTTCGGTAACTTTCTGCTTGACCAGCTTCTGCGCCCGCTCGAAGACCTTTAACGCCGCCTCATGGCAGCGCTGAAAGACGGCATGTTGCACGTCCTTCCGTGCCTTGCACATGTCTGCCTCCCACTTGGCATTGCGTGCCTCCCGCGCCACCTCCTCGGCACGTTGAAAAATAACGTATGCCTCGTCAAGGTTGTCCTGCTCAAGCTGTTCCGCCCCCTCACGTACCAGCATCTCGTAGCTCAGCCGCTTCAGGTTACTTGAGAGGACCGCCATCCACTCCCGGTTCTTCTTGTTCACCGCAATACCCATCGCCTCATTCCACGCCGTGTACGCATCGTCAAAGTCATGTCTCACGTAGGCGCGGCAACCACTGTCAAAAAGATGTTGAAACTGCTCGCTGCTGTCAAGCATCATCCACTGAGGTGTCTCCCGTAACATATCTAGCGGAATCTTGTCAAGCTCTTTTTTCTCACTAAATTCCGCTTTTGTGGGTCTAACTGCAGCCGCTGCATCTCCCATAGGTTCAGCGGGCACCACAACACGAGCATCTGCATCAGCATGGACGTCTGCCGCTGAACCTACCTCATAATTGTCGCAGCTTCTCCTTTGCATCACTGCCTCATCCACGGTGTTATAATTTGTCACATCGGCCTCTGGCTGCTCCTGCCGAGTAAGCGCCTCATGGTCCTCTTCCCCTTGTTGTAGTTGTTGATGTAGCGGCAAAAGTCCTGCATCCGTGTTGGTGATCGGGCTCAATGTCTCGGGTAAGTCTGGCAGCTGTGATTGACTAGGCTGAAACGACTGCTGGTTCTTCGTGACTGCTGTTGTTGTTGTTGTTGTCATCGATGTCAGGGAAGCCCCCGTCTTTGCCGTTGTTGTCCTTGACTCCCACGTCCTGCGGCAAACAGGGCTCCTCGTAGTTTTTTCCAACAACATCAACTCCTCCCGTGCACGGTCCGCCGCCATACTTGCCTGACTGCTGTTGATCTCGCGCAACAGCATCGCCTTCTCCTTGTAACGTCGCTGCAACTCCTGCCGCTGCAACTCCGGCAGGCGCCCGAATTCCTTTGAGGCAAGTGCAGGGATCGGCTGCCGCGGCTGCAACTTTGTGGGCGCCAGTCCTCCGTTTGGCAGGCGCGTTAGCTGCCCTTTGTCCTTTGCGGCCACCTCCTTCCCAGCCGACTCCCATGCGATAGCAGGCAGGGTGATTAAGGACAACTTCTCATTTGAGGACCGCTTCGCTGCGTGTTCGATGTGCCCGCGAGGCATCTGCGTCACGTCTGCCTCAGTAAACCTGAGCTGCGGTGTCTCTTTCATAGCTCGCTGCTGGTTGGCCTCCGTGGCCTTTGTGATCTTGTAGATGAGGGCGTCAAAAACGTCGGTGTCAGTGAGGTCAACGCCGATGATGCGCGGGTTGCGCTCCACCAGCGCCAGCACCCGCTTCCCCCCGGTCACCGTGATGGGGTTCCCGCGAAGGCTCAAGTACTCCAGGCCCAGGTGCTTTTCCAGGACGCCACAGAGCCTCTCCACCGTCTCGTTGTCGGCCCCGTTGCCCTCCATGCTGAGGTACGTCAGGGTCTGGGAGTACTCCACGAGGCGTATGATGGGGCGCAGGCCCCGGGCCCCGAGGTAGTTGCTGCTGAGCTCGAGCCTCTCCAGCGGGTAATGCGCCCCACGGTCCTCAATGTACCGCAGGACGGCCGAGTTCACGCGGCACCCCTCCTCCACGCAGTACGCGCGGTACAACTCACACAAGTCAGTGAGTTCCCCCATACAAGAAACACACACGGCACGCAAACACGCACGCAGCCAAACAAACAAATAATAATAGCAGTCCTATTGATGGTTGCTTCCGCCGTTTTTTTTTGTTGTTGTTCGTGTGTTTGCTTTGGTCGCTGTTGACGCCTTCTCTTCCCCTTCCTCCCTCCCACACACGCACGCAACGAGAGAAAATAAAGGGCAGACAACAGATGCACGCAACGCCCACGCAGAAGACAGACACATAAACCACAAACTGACAAATGATTCCTCCATCCCTCCCTCCCTCCCTCACACACACTTACACACCGCCGCAGCCACCAGCTCCGCAACTCGCGAAGGCAAAATAAATAAACAAATATACTTCCGTGAACTTTACACTCACCACGACACACATATCTACTCTACAGCGTCTAGAAACGGTGAATCTTCGAGGCGGGGGCCGTAGCAGCACCATCATCACGGCGTGTCAGCAACTCCTCGATACGGTTCATACTTTCTTCCCGCGCCCGCCGCTCAGAACAAAGGGCGTCCTGCAGCTGCGTACAAGTCTCCTTAAAAAGCTTTAAAAATCCGGCCTCTTCGCCCTTGTGCCTTTCCAACCATGATCGGTGCTGCTTCAACTCCTGCTCGACTTGTGCTGAAAGCTCGCTGTTCCCCGTGCTGATCACCGACACAGTGTCTGAGAGGCCAGCCAACGCCTCAGCAAGGGTTCCCACTACTCGATGGAGGGCGTCAAATCGTTCCCGCTCCCGCTGCCGATGCTCCGTCACGAGGCGCTCCCGCTCGTCCGCCACAAGATCGCGCCAAATGGCCTCCGCCTTCTTCTGCGCCTCCGCCGCTGCCACAGTTGTGGTCTGCCACTCCTGCCGCAGGCGTGACATCTCCTGTCGGCACGCCGTCTCGGCGGCGCCAAAGTCGTCCCGCACCTGTGAGAGCTCCAGCTGTAGATCCCTCAGCTGCTCGTACAGGTCCTGCTCGCGCTCCTTCTCACGACGCTCCACGTACTCCAGCCGGCCCTGCAGGGTACGGAGCCCCTCCCGCGAATTGGTCATCACTTGCAGCAAACGAGGGAAAAGAGAAAACGCTGGTGAGAACGACGGGACACAAGGAGTTCAACAAACAAATCCAAAGCACAGGAACCGACACACTTTACACACAAGCGCAGTCCACGCTTTACAAAGGAGCCTTCCACGTCAGGAGAAATGTTTACAACGTCATTACCGAAAAATTAAGATACGGTTTCGCTCATGGACCACCGCACCAACCAGATCCTAACTTCACCAAAACCACACAGGCACACAGAAGGTCTCTTCCCCTCCCTCTCCTCCTTTTCTCCTTTTTTGGTTCACCATGTATATTATAGCACACATAGCAGAGCATTTCTTATCTTCGTTTTCTCTTTTGGCTGCTGGTACAGACTAAGATGAGACAACGGACATGCGCTGCAACAGTCGCAGTACTTGACACTGACGGCGGGCGAGTTTGGCCCAGTCATCTGGTCTGTGCATGTACAGCTCCACACAGCACTTCGTCATAACTTTCCGTGCAATAAACTCCCGCAACTGCATACGATTTGGCGTCTCGGTTGCTCCATCCGCATCTTCCACACCTTCATTGGTCTTTGCCTCCGAAGTGTTTCCGTGGCCGCGTCGCAGGCTGGAGTAAATGGGCACCAATAGCTTCACAAGTGCCTCTTTCACCTCCATCGAGCCCACCTCGTACAGCACCTCCACCACGTAGCCCGCACAAGTGTCCCCCACCAGCTCCGGCAGCAGCGACGCAACACGACGCAGAAAACGCATCGGCACCGTCTTGTCCGCCTTGTGCTCCTCCCTTTTACTCCCTTGTGCATGCTGCATTGCCTGGGCAGTGGCCGCGGTGCGCAGATACTGTTGCATGATAAGGCTGCCCTTCACGTGTCGAATAAGGCCCTCCATGTCCCTGAGAGAAATTTTGTTTATCGCGTGGATAAACATAGCCGATGCGGATGGGTGAAAGTGCAGGATGTAACGGGCTAGTTCCATGCCTTTTTCATGCGCTGCAGCGTCAACGAGAAGGAATTGTGCTGCGCCCTTCGCGCACTCCTGCTTGATTGCAAAGCACAGTGTGTTGGTGACCGTCTTCTGAAAGCTGGTGGGCACCGCAAAGTATCGCACCCCCTGCGCCAAATCGGTGCGCAGCAGCTGGTCAATGTCCTTTGGCAGTGCGTCGCTACCGTCCTCCGCCGCCCCAGCCAAGACGCCGCCGTTGTACGTGTTGCCAGCGTCGCCACCATCCCTTAAATTGGAGGGAGCTGCAAAGGCACACTTCCGCGCAAACGTCACAAGAACCTGCAGCAGCGCTGGTGACGAGACAAACATCCGCAGCCGTGGGTGCAGCAATCGCTCCCAGACGGACTCCAACTGCACCGCTGTTGGGGCAAAGAGCACGAGGTCCTGCAGAACGTAAAGCACTGGCGTCATGTGCTCCGTTGCAGGATCAATAATATCGTCCAGCACCTCCATCACAACTTCGAGTGCTTTATTCCAGCATGTTTTCTCCTGCACCCTGAGGGCTGCCGCACGTTCATCCTGGTCTGTCGCATTATCTACAGTTTCGCATAGAATTTTTTGAAGCCTTCGCCCGCCTGTGGCTCTGAGAGCCACGGCAGCCATGGCCCCCCGGTTGGAAATAAGATCACCCGCCTCTAAGACTTCCAATGATGCGGGGACTTTAATGTACGCCTGAAAGATGTGACAACCCATCGGATCCATAAGAAGATGCCGCAGCAATGAAATTCCATCCTCGTCGTGAATGGACTCCAGGCGTTGACGGACAGCAACGTCGACCTCCGTGCCTGCATCACACACGCGAAGTAGGCTTTGAAGAATGAAGCTGGCGGTCGGCGTGTTGGCGACGTTGAGCCAAAGATCCGTCACGTGCCGGGCGTTGTCGTCCGCAAAGGTCGACGCCAGTGCCTTCATCAGGGCGATGCCCAATACAGCTAAAGGCTGAGTGAATTTCACCACGTGTGCTAGCCGTGGGGCTCCGCGAATTGTGAATCCGCCTAGCACCAACACGATGGAGCGCACAGCGCGGGAAGCCACGTCATGTAGGACGATTTCCCCCGCCGCTCTGACAGTTCCTCGACGACGCACGTAACGAGGGTGGCGGCGCTCGGTACACCACTTCCGGTGTGAACGCCTGGGCCGCCGTCTGTCATCTCCGACTCAAACGAGTCTGCCTCGGCGTCCGCCAGTGCGCTGAGCGCCTGGGCGAGGCTTGCAATGAGCGTCTCCATCATGTAACTTGCTGTGGGGGAGGTCACCGTGTCGAACACGTGTCCCAGCAAAACGTACAAGAGGGACTTACTGTGCAGCAAGAGCGAGTTTGTCAACGCGGACTCAATAACGCGGCAGACAACGCCGTTTCGCAAAAGGTGCAGGGTGGAATCAGCCTTGAGAAGTTTTATAAGCTCCACAAAGAAGCCATCCACGATGGATGCCAGCGTACTCGCATCCCCCGCACCAGACGCCTGCTCCTCCAATGCCCGCTGGACCGACTTGAAGTACGACAGGGTTCGTTCCATTTCCTTCTTTTCCTGTCGTTCCTGACGGCGCTTCTGTAATTTCGCCTCGGGGGCAAGTTCGCTGTACCGCACCCGGGGCTGCTGGTACTGCTGCTGCTCGTCCTCGTGGTCGCGGCAGGGGCCGCCCCTGTCCCCGCGGTCTCTCTTCCGGGCCCCGCTCATCATCCGCCGGCCGCTCAAGAAAATAAAAATAAAAAAGCACACACACACACACACACACACACACACACTAATAAACAAAGGTGTGCGTCCCTCGCCGACAGGCACGGCTGTGGCAGCCAATGGCAGCCAGAGGAAGAGACCAAACAGAAATCAGGGAAAAAGACGAATAAATGCCCATGCACGGTTACACATGGACATAAACAGAGAGATTGCATGGCATCGCTCTGATAGGCACAAAGCGAGATGGGGGAGGAGAGTAGCAAGGAATGACAAACGACGCCTCCCCTCATGTTTCAGCGATTCATGGCCGCCTTTCCCGTGTTCCGCCCCCTCATTAGGAGGACCTCGGCTACGACGAGCCTCACACCAACACCCAACACGGCAAGCCTCTAAAAGTGCACAATCACACCTCCACGTCGCAGGGCGACACATCCACTTGAGGCCTCAACGGTGCTTGTGAGGTGGCGTGGCACGGAACCGTACAACCCAACAAACCTCAGTGAGGGCAACTCCACCAGTGCTCCAAGCAGAGACACAATGGCATCCGCCCTTCTGACGGCGTTGCCATCCAAAAACACGCGCTTCAGAGACGACATGACAGGGAAGGCATCAGCAAGAGCCTCAAAGCCGTCTGCATCGATACGGCAGCTGGATAATCGTATCTCCTGCAACGCCGTCAACGAGCGTAGGGGCGAGGCCGCTCCAGTCACGCCAGCACCAGCGTCAGCCAGGGCATAACCGTCTGTGAGTAGCGACGCGCCGACACTTCCAAGCCCCGTGCATGAGAGGTCAAGTCCCTGCAAGGATGCAGATGCACGACACAGCAGCGTCGCAAGCGCCTCAAGGCTATCCATTCGCGCAAATATTGGGTTTGCGCTCAAATCAAGGTGCGTGAGGCGGCGGACCACCAGTGCTCCGGTCACCGCCAGGAAAGAGGCATCTGTCAAAGAGCAGCTCTAAAGTGTGAGGCGTTGCAGCCCACGACACCCGGACAGCGCCAGCCCCAGGTGCTCAAATGACGCCACGCCGCCCATCGACTCAAGCAACGGAGGCGGCTTGGAAAAGGCCTCGGGGCCCTTGAACCTATGACGACCTTCAAAGTGCGCCACGGTGGTCAAGCTCGAACGATGTGGGGACCTTCCAGTCGCTTCGAGTGCCGCCTTGCATAAATGCAGGATCGTACGCGAAGAGCTGCACTTTCCCCTTCGGCATCTCCCTGTGATTGCCACGCGTGGAGGCGGCCTTGACATCGAGGGACTGCAAATCATTGCGATTGAGGACAATCTCTTCCAGTCTGTCAAAGAGGGGCAACACGCTGCAAAGAAGGGGGGGGGGATGGAATACACCACGCCGTCAGTTGACAACGAGTGACATCTAATAAGCGCAGCTCCGGTCAGTACTTGGCGTACTGAAGAAGCGCCCGAAGACCCTCATCTCCAAGCAGGTTAGAGTGAAGATTGAGACACTGCAAGAAGGGTGTTGCGAGGACCGCAGAGCCGAGAGTCGCTGCTCCCTTTTTTGTAAGCCGATCGTGCCGCATATGGAGCTCGCGGAGCAGCTCACACCGCATGCAGGCACTCGCCAAGAAGAACACGCCCTCGTCGTCTATGCCATTACTGTCGAAGTTCAAGCACGTGATGTTGGCCGTCTCACCGGGAGACATCTCTCGCCCGCGTCGCAAAGCATTCGCTGCAGGCCCCATGCCGATACATTCGTCTCGGCAAGATTCAAATGACGCAGGCGACACCAGCCACAAATGGAGGCCCCCGAAAACATCCAGGAGCTGCTCCAGCGCCACGTCACCAAGAAGCGTGGAGCTGAGGTCCAAGATTTTCATGTGTCGCTTCTCCGCCACCGCGACACGCAGGAGAGGCAAACGCGAGAACACCCCACGCGAGCCACGGAGTGATAATTGCGTCAGCGAACGGCAACGGGATATATGGCCTCGCAGAGTGGCATCATATCTTCTTCATTCACCCCCTGCAGGTCTACATGCTCCAACGATAATACTTGCAGTGCCAAAGAATGAATATTGGCAGCAATGGCCCTGACAGCCTGCTGGTTCCAGTGTAATCTGTGCTGCAGCTCACACGCCACGATTGTGACGCGGAAAGACTTACGGTGGGATGAGGCAGTGCTAGCAGCTTGCAGCAAGGCGGCGAGGGCGGAGTCATCCCGCAGGAACGCCACATCATGCAACGTGAAATGAAGAGTGTGTAGCGAGGCCGCCTGTGCCGTTGCAAATGTTCGCCCCACAGTCGCTGCAACCGCGGCAGACGGGATTGTAACCGCGATGTGTTTGATTAAGCACGCTGCCGAAAACATGGCTGCGCAACAGCAACGCAACACTTCGTCGGAGGTATGAGGCTGGTTGCATGATGACAGCAGCACAAAGTTCAAGTCCCGCTCCGTCTCATGCTTGGCTCGTTGGCACAGGTGCAGTGGTAACGCGTCAATAAAGGGGCAAACAGCCGATTCCCCGAGGCTCCAGCTCCACCTCCGCGTCGATGTCGCGGCAAATCTTTTTTTTTTTTTTTGCAACGCGGCGCATACGCGACGGCCCACAGACATCTTCACTCCCCTGACACACCTGCACTCAGAGAGCGAGAACGGCAGAGCAGACTCACCCTCTCCCCTTCGTTCCCTTCCCCTTGTGTCTCTTCCATCGGGGGTAACACAGGCAAAAACAAAAGAAGGGAAGACACACCCACACATTTTCCGCAAACCAGTCGCCACACAACACCGCACACACATGCACATAGAGACACAGAGAAGTATATATATATATATATATATATATATATATTCACTCACTCACACGGCATCTATGGTGTCCTCAGAAACGAGTGCTGCAGCACCTCCTCGACCGTCAGCCTGCATTCAGGCTTCACCCGAAGCATGTTACGGACCAAGTCGACAGCTAACGGGTCCGGCACAACCCCCATTGCTGGGTGACTCTGCAGCACTTCATCGGCGGTGCAGATACGTTGAAACAACAACGACTCGCCACCACCCTCTTCTTCTTCCTCCTCTACTTGAAAGGGGAAGCGGCCTGTCAGGAGCACAAATAGCACGACACCCGCCGACCACACATCGATCAACTCCCCTTTGTACGGTTGCCCCATGACAAGCTCGGGCGCCGCGTAGTGTCTTGATGCACAGCACAACTGTAGCATGCCGTCATTAGCCTCGCATGACGGAATGACTGCGCACATGTCGAGCCCACCCAACTTGGCCCGGTTGCTGCCATCCAAAAATATATTCTCAAGTTTGACGTTGCGATGCACCACACCGCAGGTGGAGTGCAGGTAATGCACTCCACGCATGAGATCCTGCATGGTGCACCGTACAAAGCTCAGCGACAAGCACTGGAACACCTGCTGACCTGGCCGACTGCGAATTTCCTGCGTGGAAGGAGAGACGACTGCGCTTCTGTAGTATTCCTCCAACGCACAAAGCAGCTCGCCGCCCACGCAATGCTCCTCCACGAGAAAAAGATCAACACCTGAGACAAAGGATGGCAACCCCTTGACAATGTTCGGATGATCTGCGATTCGTGCGACGAGGGCTCTCCGCTCAACGCGCATGCGCAGTTGTGGATGTTTGCGCAGGTACTCCAGTGCGTAGACACGAATGTGCACCAGTTCCTTGGTGACGTCCGACTCTGCCACTAGTGTCTCATGGGTGGCGGCACTGTGAACGTGCTGCACGTGCGCATACCCTGGCAGCGACAGCTGCTGCATCCTGCTTGCACCTCCTAGGTCTCGTGGGGGGTATGATAGCGGCTGCCGCTGTGGACCGGCACGATATATCAAACTACACGTTGGCCTCTCCAACGAAGGGAAATAAGAACAAGGACAAAAACAGGTGCAATACGGCCTATAACATAAAGGAAACGTGGACAAAGAGGAAGGAAGATGGAGACACAATAACGACAACAAGACGTCTGGGCAAAAGAAAGCCTTTTACCCCACCTCCTCCTCCGCCTTGTTATTCACCTTATGTGGGCAAAAGTACAGAGCACGAAGACGCAGACCACGCGTCCCTGTCCATCCCCAAACGACACATCCCAGCCGTCGAGGCCATCACAGATGCATGCACGAGCAAAAGCAGCTGAGACAAGCTCCCCTCCACTGTGCGTGCGCCCTACATCGTGAAGCAGCAATTACCTTCAAGATGTTCATGCACGCCGTCGCCGCCGCATCGATTTACCGCTAACTGCGGCGCCGCTCACATGCGGGGTGTAGGCATTTTTATTGGAGGTCCCCACCACAAAATCGGAGGTGCTGTCCTTCATATCCAGCAGTGAGAGATGCCGGGGCTGCATCCCAATCATCTCCGCAAAAAATGCCGCCTCCTCGCATGTGATGCCGCCCGTCGGCTGCGCCCGCAACTCTTCCAGCCGTCGCTGGAGTAGGCGCTTCGTAAACGGCATGACGTAGCTGTCCTTTTCCAACAGCGCCTTCCAGACGTGTCTGACAGCCCGTTGGCGCTCTGTCGTGTCAGCGATCATCGCAGTGCACATAAGAGACTCCTGCAGCACAATTGGGGAGAGGCGGTAGCCCTTGCCGCGCCACTCCAAGAGCGTCGGGAGCACCAACTCGGGCGCATGGTGGCGTAGCAGACGCACATACGTGGCCCGCAGAAAGTCGTCCATCTTGGCATGGTCAAAAAACTTGTCGAGAAGCCCCTTGGCCTCTAGAGCACGGGGAGAAAACATGCAGCAAAGGAGGAAGCTGCGCCACTCCACCGCCCCCCACTCAATGGCGCGACTCTGCGACAAATTCCACAGGCCAAACGCCATCTCGCTCCAATCCCAGTTCTGCGGGAGAGCGAGGTTCTCATCCAACTCGCCTTTGCGCCGCCGTGCGTCCAAGCAATGCCTGGCAGTTGCGCTGATGCTCCGGTGTATTTTGCCACACATAGACATTCACGTTACGGTGATTATACGGCTCGCCACACAAAGGACACGGCTTCCCACCCCCGGAACGCGCGTAGTAGAACATCAACCGGCTCATGTCGGGGGTTGCCAAGACGCATTGCGGCAGCGACACCCTCCAGCGCATAAAAAGCTCTGGCACAGTGGGGTAATTCAGAGCGCAGGCAAGCTGCATAAGCTTTGCGGTGCTGCTTTCGGCGATGCTGATCCCGTAGCTCTCGGCGTCCTCCATCACAGCAATCATCTTCTCCACATTATCTGTTGCAAAGTAGTAGTCAATCAGTCGATACATCACACTAAAGTTAGGACGCGAGGGGATATCCTGGCGGAGCATCTCTAACACCTCCTCCAGCATCGCGTCACATTGCAGGACACACTCATCAAAATCAACGCATCGTTCGCAGCTGATCACCCACTCCACCACCACACCGTCACGTTTGGTAAAGTTTTCCGGAAAACTTGAGCGATAAATATTCTGCCGGTCAAAGAAACCCACAATCATGGTGAGGAGAAACACAATGCGGGTGTACAGAACGTGATCAAAAACCAGGCGGTCCTCCTTGCAAAATTGTACAAGTTCGCGAATGTGAAAAATACCTTCCGTCACGAGCAGTGGCGAGCGGCCCTCGTAGCTAAAGTGATGGGAGAGCCACTCGCGAATCACCGTGAAACCCTCGGCGGCGAAGGTGCGCGTCAGGACGAAGCCCAGCCGGCGAAACTTATCCACGCACTCAAACCACTCATGCATGCATTGCGTGCGCGGCGCCACGGCTGTCAACGCCTGCAGCACAGCCACGCGGTAGCCGTGACCATTCAACACATCATGGCAAAGTGGGTTGCAGTACAAAACAGTGTCCAGAACGTGCCGCACCTCCTTGCCGTTTTTACAGCCTTTTAGAAGGTCCTTGATATCCTCGGAACTCGTCAACGGTACCGCGTCGCGCAGAATTGAAACAGCAGTCAATCCGCACGTTTCCTGCGCAGTGACCTCCGCTATTTCCGCCTCGTTTGTCAAGGAGCGAGTCGACGCCTCGCTTCTAGTCTCGTCATAGTCTGCAGTGGCGGCAGCCACTGCCAACTGTTGCTGCAGCTGCTCCCCTTCAAAGGCGTTTTCGGCAAAGAAGATGCCAGAACCGACGCTCAGTCTGGGGGCAGAAAGGTGTAGCCCTCGGCGAGGCACGGGATGTGAGAAGGCGCCGCCGTGACGAACGGTAAACATGCCTCTTCCCGTTGTCACGGCGACAAGGCGCTGAAATCTCAGGTACATCTGCGCTGTAGCCTCCGCTTCCTCGCTATCCTCCCTCTCACTCTCTCTTTTACCTGCCGCAGATGGGGAGGGAGCAGGAGACAAAAGAAAGAAAAAAAAAGGAGAGAGACAGGGGAATCGAGAGGAGGAGTTACAGTGATGTCCTCCACGATCTTGCCACGACGCGCAGGTCAACGGGGAAGGCAGAAAAAAAAAAAAAGAATGTAAAACGACAAGCAAACAAAAACGTGGGGTAATAAGTGACTCCATCAATGGGGGAATTACCCATTAAGATTCAAAGCATCCTGACTGGGTGCCGCATACTCCATTGGAACCGGGTGTGTGTGCGGGAAAGACGCGGCTGAGGCAAGGTGAGCGTTTTTTTGTTTTGTTTTGCTTTGCTCCCGCCCACAGCCCTCCGCCCCTCCATCCGTCACCACCGCCGCCAGCAGCAGCCGTGCAACAAAACAGAAGCGAAGCGGGTCCCCATCTTCCTCGTCTGTATCCCCGAGGAAGCAAAACAATTAATAGTTTCGTTAGTGTACTCTGTCCTTGATAATAGATCTTCTGCCTCGCCATTCACAAACAGGAGATGGCAAATCACAAAGTCAGCTGGAAGCCACACACATACATATGTACGTGAATATGCATATGTACAAACACAGAGAGTACATAAGACCTCCAACAAAAAAAAAAAAACACCCACATACACATAAGGGCAAAAAAAAAGAGCTCGAAACAAAAACGCGCAATTACGTCTACATCAGCACACGCACCTACCCGGAGCTGAACTCGAAAAAAAAAGCAAAAAAAAGAATGACACATGGACGCCAAACAACTCCTCTCCCTTCTCCGCCCTCCATGCAGTTGAGGACGAGAACGTCCGTGTGGGAGCAAGGCGGTATAAGCCATGCCAATCGGCAGGAATTCCCTCCTCCCCCTCCCCCACTCGCACGCTGGTACACCCATCCACAAAAAAAAATACAAAGGAGTTCCTTCTCATTGGCCGTTTTTTCTTTTTTCTTTTTTATCTTCGCGGTCATTCCCTTTCTTTAATGCATCCACTACTTTTTTCCTGCTCCCTTTATTTCGATATATATATATATATATATACTTCCTCTTGCGTGCATGCAGCAGGTGTAGGGGTGTGCTGTTTTGGATTAAATTCATTCCTTACCTCGCGTAGGACTCGCATGGGGACGTCGTTAGTCAGAAGCGGCGACAGGAACTCCCAAAGGAACAAATGGAGAATCAATAAATCATTTTTTTTAAGCCAAAAAAAAAGTCCTTTTTTCCGTCTTGGGACTTCCTTCGTCCGTTCCTCTTTTGATTTTCTTCTTCTTTTGCTTCACCCCATCCCCTTTTTATTCCCTCAGAATA